GACACCATCCTGGCTAACATGGGGAAACTCCGTCTCTACTAAAAATACAAAAAATTAGCTGGGCATGGTGGCACATGCCTCTAGTCCCAGCTATCCGGAAGGCTGAGGCAAGAGAATCCCTTGAACCCAGGAGGCAGAGGTTGCAGTGAGCCGAGATCGTTCCACTGCACCCCAGCCTGGGTGATGGAGCAATACTCTGTCTCAAAATTAAAAAAAAAAAAAAAAGGGAAACATAAAACTAAGCGTAAATGAATGCACTGAATTCTTTTATTGACCATATAATAGTATTGAAAAGTGGTTGTTTAAACTGGAATGGTTTTATAATCAAGCTGAAATCTTTTCACAATTTTAAAAACAAATAAAAAAGAAAATGCAATACATAAAAGAAGATGGAGCATGTATACTAGTATAACACAATGTTGATAATTTTATACACTTATGGAAAATAGTAAGATTTGACAATCAATTTTACTTGATCATGCTGAAAATAACATCTCTTAGCCTACATATCTATTTTGATAACTAAAATGTCTCATAGACTAATTGTTCAAGTCCACAAATGGGTGGTGTTTAGAAACTCTAGCCTTAAGGTTTGGAACAGATTGCCCAGTATTATGTTAAAGCTTCTATAGTCTAAGGAAATATCGGTGTGATAATTCACTGTAGATCTTCCACAAGACAGTAAATTATAATTTATTTGAGATTGATGAAAAGTCTTACTTCAAAGCATATATTTAAATTATTTCACCTGGATGATATTCAAAAGGAAGATGATATATGTGACTCATCATCAACCCCTAAAGAACTCTTGATTTCATGTTTATATTTTTCCCCAATACTGGTTGTAAGCTGGTGATGATCAACCAAGTATTTCTAATGACTTATGACCAATGGCAAGTTTGGGAAGGAGGGCTGGTCAAGGTTACAGGTCTAGTAGGCATTGTCCAAGAAAGAGAACAGAGCTCATTAATCTTTGTGTGGTTTGAACCTGCAACCTCAGACTCATTAACTGCACAGGAAATCAAACTCCTCTAAAAAAACTGAATATATGCAGAAAATAATATACATAAACGTTTGAAACAATGGTTTTCTGTGAATGATAGGATTTAGGTTATTTTTAGTTTCTGCTTTATGATTTTCGGTAGCGTTTGACCCTTTGCAGTTAGTTTATTTCTTTATATTTAGGAATAAATGCAAGAGTTGTATTTGTATTTCTGAAAAAAAAAGTCATTTCATCCCAAGCAGGAAAAACAAATATTCCTTTTGTTTTCAAACACATTCTGCACATACCTTTTATCTTTTAAAGCACTTATCACATTAAATCAGAGCTATTTGATCACTTATCAGTCTTCTGGCTTATAAATGAGCTCCAGAAAGAGTAGCAGTCATTACTTTTAACCAATAATGTTTCCCTGTGCTTAGCACAGGACATGGCACATTACAGATGCTCACTGGGTTTTGAATGGCTCCTTGGATTCTGCCTTTCATCCAGTGACTTCTTTCTCCCATACATGGCTCTAGTGGAATTACTATCACCTCCACAAGATGCTGTCCAGTCTTTAATAGATTTTGGGACCAAAATTAAAGTGTGTGCAGGTATCATGGTGAAAAAATAATTTGGGTCAAAAAGATGTCATCTTGCAAAATCAGTTGAAACTTTACTAGGATCTCTATCAACATACTGAGACACTCCACTACTAAACCAATTCCTTACTACTCTCCAGGCCCTACTACACCCTGAGTTCCCACTCTTTTAGTGTTACCGTACATATGTTGACCAGTATTTTGTCTCCAGTTACTTATCCATGCTACCAGAAACAATTCTTTCCCTCAGATTATCCTGGAACCTGTCCCCTGTTCGTAGTTTTCTGCAGCAGATTCTGCATATCCCTTTGTTTCTATTTCAACCAGCATCAACTTACTCATTGTCTCTCTCGGATCATTATTTACTAAATAGGAAGATTCATGAAACAATCAAGTTCCACTATTCCTTTTTTCCAACTGAGACTATAGTTTCTTGGAAACTTGAAAGTTTCCTAGATTAAATGTATTTCTTAGATTTTACATGAAATGGCTAAATTACTTTACATATTTTTTTCAAGCATCATACACATAACTATTAGAGTAAGAAAGCTTTTTTAATGTATAAAAAAGATAACTTTCTTATACAGGGTATTTAAAAGCTGGGAGAATTGCTTAGGTAGTTGTAAATATGCCTGTAACTATACTAACCTATACTTTTAAAATCTCTAGGTTTTCTATGAGAGTCCCAATAGGCATCCTGCACTTCCCACATTAACCTCAGAGTGACATTTTAAAATCAACACATGGATATGGTCAAGTAATACGATGTCATGGTAGGCAGACTACACTGTTCACAGATTGCAGGAAGTTTTGACTAGAAGCTCAGTGGTAACATTGACAAGAAAGCCAAGCAGAGGGAGTCTGGCAGAAGTGGAACTCAGAATCATCAGGGCAAACATTGACAGTGTTACTCAACTCCTAGACACGTGTAACCGCCCTGCAAGGCTGACCTCTGTGTTTAGCAGATGGATCGTTTATTGACAGGTATATTCTGCCAAGTGTACCCTATCCTGATTCCTTTGAACACTGGAAGCACGTAGCTCTCCTCGTTATGATTATGTGGTTATCAGTCAAACTTCTGATTTAGATTCCCGTGTAGTTTTCCACAACAGTTAGAGAATGCACTAGTCAGACTAAATCAAGCATGGCATACACTTAACTGTTACATGTCTTATTTGAAATTAATAATCTTTCAACCCAGTTAGTTTTCCCATATCAGTCAATATTTCCATGTGTTTGTTTCTGGATTTCAAAACAGACAGCCCGATGAGGGACTATAATGGCTTAACTAAATTAATGTAATGATAAGTTATTATGCATTCCTATTAAATATTTATAAAACAATAATCCCCAAAATATAAATTAGAAGATGTTAGGAATATAGAAGAATTACAAAGTTTATTGTAAAAAAAAAAAAAGAAGAAGAATGTTAACAATGTCTAAACTAGGTATCAGTGACATGTATCATGTCATAAACATGTTTTACATGGTTTAGATTTAGTTTCTGGTCTCCTTTGCTGCCAGCACTTGGGCACCCCAAATGCTAACTGGGAGAACAGGGATGCCAAACACCCTACAGCTGCATGGTGGGGGTGAAACTGGTAAAACAAATTAATAGCTCCCTGCATGGAAATCTAATGCAGAACACAGCTAGAATCCAGGACAGTGCTGATAAAAATATCCAAGAACCATTTCTATAAAATCTGAACCTATAACATGGAAAGAATTCTTATAAATTCCAGATAGATGAATTACATAAGATAGCCTCACAATTTAAAGCTTTCTTTTAGAAGGATAACATTTATTTACCATTGAGTTACCTGCTTTGCATTTTTTTCACTCATTTCCACAGCACGCACTTACAGAATATCTACTAAATTCTAGGTGCTGTTCTGGATAATCGGGCTGGAACCATGGCATGCAATCTCTCTCTTTGTGGAGTTCACTGTGTTTTGGAGCAACAATCATATCCTCACATCACATCAAAACAGTTAATAGAAGTATGCACCGAGGCCAGGCCTCAATTTTAGTCCTGCCCTGACCCTGTGAACCAGGCTAAACTGCACGCTCTCTTGAAATACAACAGTCATACCTGTTTCAATCTCCTCCTCCCACTTTCCGTTTCCTTTCCCCACCCCACCCCTCTCCGTTCTTTGACATGCTGCCTGCTTTTTGAGAACTCATCTCCTACACACAATTTGCCAGGAGTATAATTCCTTTAAGGAAATGTGTCAAGGTCTCCCAGGAGTTTGAAATGATTCACAGGTTCTACAAAAATTATATTTTTAAAAACTTTTAATGAGAACTTAATTTTAACAATAATATAATAAGAAAACATACTGTGCAGTAATAATTAACAATTTAAATAAAATTTCTGTTTGATTATACTTTAGTTTCTTCAATTCTTTTTTTTTTCAAACTGAGATTCTTAGCACTAGGCCAAAAGATCCAAGGATCTCTTCTAGGGAGTCCTTAAAAAGCAGGTTCTTCAGAAACATGACTCTGAATCTAAACAAATAATTATATCCTTGCCTAAAAAAAGTTGCTTACTTCACTAAAAATAAATTTATGGAGCTAAGTTGAGCCGGTAACAACTGTTTAATCTGATGCTACCTACATTTCCAGCACAAATTGAAGAGCAAGGATAAAATGAATTCTTAAAGAAATGAAAAAATTACCAGATTTTCCTTACATTCATGTATTAAACACTATGAATTTATATAAATGTCACTTATTCACCTCTTTATATAAAAAAGTCAAAGTTCAATAAATACCTTCAAATTTATCCCTACTAGTATTGCTCTTCATTGCTATAGAAAAAGCTCATTATTCATCAGAAAAATATTTTTACACTTCTTTTTTTAAATCCCAAACAGCTTTTAAACATGCATTGAAAGTCAAAGATTATTTAGAATGCCAGCTATTTAGAGATACGCATCCGTAACAAATTTTTCTCTTCCATATTTCAGTTCTGTTCAGTTTAATCTGGGTAGATTTGTTGAAATGTAAAACCTAAAGAAAAGAAGTACTGATGAGCAAATATCTGCCCCACACTGACAGTCACCCATATAGCTTATTAGTCCTGTATCTGGGAATATAGCAATAGCAAGGAATACTGAAAGGATATTACATTACTTCTCCCTCTCCTAGGGTGTGCTGGGAAGAAAGGTATTGGACGTCACTGGGATTCAGTGTGAGGCTTCAATCCTTTCCAGAGCCCCCAGATATCATAGCACTGAAAGTGTCAGACTTCTAATCCTAGATTGCTTTCCTTACCCTAACATGGGGCAATACTCTTTGGAAACCAGATTTTTAAGTTTTCTCTCTGCCCAAGTTCTGCCAGTACAACTCTCTCATAAAATATTGCTCACGATACATATTCATTTACATTTTAGGCAAGAAAACCATTCACTCACCATGACAGATTAGATACAGACATTGCAGCAACTTGTCGAGGAGTCTTCTCTTGATTCCAGAACAGGGAATTAGCAGGTCAAGTCACACCGCTAAAAATTTTAGCTTTGCTTCTGGAATGATGCACAAACCACTCAGTTACTCACAGTTTGAGAGGACCTATAAAGAAAAGAAATAAATGAATATCTCTAGTACCTGGTCTATATGGTTTCTCACAGATTTATTTCATCCAAATCAATGGTTTTGTCATGGTATAAGATATACACAAAAAATATTATTTTTTTCTTAAAATGTAAGACATGTAATAAACCAAAGATAAAATTAAACCAACCATATGATGAGCAGAATGCTTTACTTTTAAAACCATCTGAAAGGTTAATAAAACGTTCAATCCCCGAAGTAGAGAATTCAGGGAAACAAGAGAATGTGATATGGAGGAACCAAATATTTTTTCATAAGGTTATACTCTCCAAATCAGTTTTACATACCTGAGATAAAAAGATTAGAACAAAGATCCTGATTAGCCCACAGCAGATAAAAAAGAAAGAAGGAAAGAAGGGAGGAAGGAAGGGAGGGAGGGAGGGAGGGAGGAAGGAAGGAAGGAAGGAAGGAAGGAAGGAAGGAAGGAAGGAAGGAAGGGAGGGAGGGAGGGAGGGAGGGAGGGAGGGAGGGAGGGAGGGAAGAGAAAAAAGGGAAGGAAGGGAAGGGAAGGAAGGAAGGAAGGAGGGAAGGAAGGAAGGGAGGGAAGAGAAAAAAGGGAAGGAAGGGAAGGAAAGGAAGGAAAGGAAGGAAGGGAAGGAAGGGAAGGAAAGGAAGGAAAGGAAGGAAGGGAAGGAAAGGAAGGAAAAGAAGGAAGGGAAGGAAAGAAAGAAAGGAAAGAAAGAAAGGAAAGAATTCCATGACACGAATTACCATCACACCCAAGGCTTTAACAAAAAATTATTCACTAAATAATTTAGTGAGTTAAAGTAGTCACTAAATAATAGGAAAAATGATTTATATTGATTAACATGGGGGAGATAAGCCAGGGTGTTATTTATGTAACAAATATGACAAACATCTCCACACATATATTTTGACACCTACTATAGTGTCCTATGATTTCGAATCAAAATCAATCAAATTAATTCCATAGTACTGTTAGCACTTTATTCAGTCAGGTCATTAATCCACTGTTTTTCAATTAAACAAATCCCTATTGAGCATATTCTATGTGAACATACACTATCCTAGCTATAGCTCAGGGATGAATGAATAAGACATTGTTCTTGTCCTCAAATAATGTTTTATGTAAAATAAGATGATTTCAATAAAATAGGGAAAGTGTTCTACTAAAGGTACATCCAGGGCATGTCGGGGCACAGAAGAGGGGGCTTCCAGCCCAGTCTTAGGGAATTGGAAAGGATTTCCAAAGATGTGTTCCAAATGACTACCATTAGGCTTGGCTACAAGTTTAAGAAAATGCAACCCTAAATAAAATGGCTGAGAAAAGAGTTTATTTTTCTCTCATACAAATAAATCTCGACCTAAGAAGGCCAAGGCATATATGGCAACTCCATGGACACCAGGGAAGGAGGTGTCTTCCTTCTTGTAGTTCCACCCTTCTCAATCATGTGGTTCCCTTCATGGTCCAAGAGGTTGCTGAGCTCCAGCGAACATGTCTGCATTCCTGCTAGCAGAAAGGAGGAGGAAGGAAAGAAGGATGCTTCCTAACATTTACACATGACATTTCTGCCTACATTTTATTGGCCACAGTTTAGTCACTTGGCCACTCTTACTCTAAGGACAATTGGAAAATGCAGCCATTATTTGGGGCATCTAGTGTCCTGTCAACCAAAGTGCTTATCGGTAAGGAAGGTGGGAAAGTGGATACCGGCAGAAAAGTAACAGCGTCGGCACCACGTTTGACACTCGGTGACATGGACCCTCAAAGTTGTGTGGCTTTTACTGAGTGCAAAGTGGAAAACATGAGACAAAGGAGAGATGGAAACAGTCCGTTGTTTACTGATAATTTTACATTTTATATTTATAATTTTAAATATCAAACTTCAGCTTCCTTAAGTCATTCATAAGCAAACAAAATATTTCTCGTGCCCTATTACTCTAAGTATTAATGATACAAAGATTAATAAAATATAGTATTTACAAATAAAGAACCCACCATTTAACATAGAGGCCATCAAATTTTTAAAAAAGGACAAAAATAAAACACACTCTGAAAATTGTTGTGTGCATACAAGCACATATGAGTGGCTATCAAGGAATAAAGCAAGAACCATGATTTTAATTAATTCTAATTTTACCCAGACCCTGACTGCTGGAATAATAATATTGGCCTGCTGGTGAAGTAAGCAGCTATGAAGTTTCATCCATATCCTAACTGGTCTGTTTACATTCCAAAAGGGGCTATCTATCCTGTCCTTGGTAAAATTGTTACAGCATATAGACTTACATCTGTAAAGACAAAGGAACTCCAAATTCTGACACCACAACAGTTAACTTAAAAAGTTTCCAAGGTGTATTGCCCGATTTTTTTCAAGGGTTCAGTTACCCAAAAATATATGTATATACACATATACCCACACATATATATACACACACAAATATATATATACACACACACACACACATATATATACACACACATATATGGAATATTGTCTAATGCAATTCATTCTTCTAGATATATTTAATTCCATCTTTAGGTAACTGTGTATCTGGATGTTGTTATTTTCATACCTAATTGAAATGCTTTTACTAAATTACATTTTGGAGTTTTGCCAAGTTTGCATCAAGAGACATCATTTTAAAAAAATAACCAACAAGCAAAAACCCAGACTATGAAGTCAACTATTAGGCTTAGTGGACAAGTTGCCAACACACAAATGTTGCCTTTATGAGCACTTAAAGGAAAAAATCGTGTTAGGTCTCAACACCTGTAAAACTATTATTCTAAATTTCTAGGTTGCTTTTCTCCTAGGGTCATTACTGCAACTTACTACACTTCTTTCCTTGCATTAATTTATGGGAAGCTCTGAAACAAAGCTGTGACATTTCTTTAAGAACTATTAAAGACTTCTGCTAACCTTTTTTTTTTTTGCCAACTTTAATTTTAACCTTTTTAAAATAAACACACAGATATATACAAACATATGCATACATATATATATATATTATTTAACGTAAATACACATAAAATCCCCCCAAGTTCTTTTTGAAATAAGAAAGTGTAAAACTAAAAACCAGAAGTCAAGAATTGTTTGCTTCTGCAGAATGTAAAAATAATACAAAAACAAACTGGATCTTAGGATCTTAGATAGAGCCATATGAACCTATTGCTTTTGTAGGTCAAAGATGGTCAAGTATTGTCAATGTATATGGTACAACTTAATATAACTGAAGAGTTGACCAAGATAGCCTTAATGTTTCCCTCAGTTTGACAAAACTTTAGGTGGCTTTCTTCCTGTCTATGGCCTCCTAACTTCCTTTTCCTTAGGATATTTACTTCAGGAAACTTGCAATTGTAAATCCATTCTCTGCCCCTTTGAGATGTAAATCTTGTGTCAACCACCTGTCAGTTTCATAATCCAATAACGTATTTCTCAAGGACCTGGGAGCCATCCCTTTAAAATGTAGCCATTGAAAAAGACAGCTTTGCTAGCTGCCTCTCCCTGTGGGAGGGTAGAAGTCTAATTTAAATAAGTGCCAATTAGTAAACAAAGATGGCATAATCAAATTGACCAACCATGCCCTCCCGCAATGTCCTCTAGAACTTTTCTGCTAGCTCAATCCAGCACTTAAAAACACTTCTGCCTTTTGTTTTAGTGGAGTTGTGTTCAGTCTCTCTCCTCTGTTGCAATAATGTGGAATCCAGTTTTCCTCGCAGCTGCTTAGCTCTGTCTGCTGCATTTTTTCTTTGACAGGTTATTGTTTTGAGTCTTTAAAGTTCAGGATAATTTCCTAAGATCCTAGCCATAATGTTTAAAAGTGCAATCATTGCTCAATGTCCTTTACCTACAATAACTACCAACTTGGAATTTGATAAGCTTATAGGTATATTTCTGAAATGAAATAAATATTAAAGAATTGCATTTTTTCTGATGACACCAAAATAAAAAAAAAATTAAAAAGAAAAGAAATCTTACAAGTTTATAAGAAGTAAATATTCAAACACACACAAAAAATGTATAGTGACCATTCATAGCAATTATACTAATCACTCTAACAGTCATTTTGGTGTTATGTCATCTTTCCTTTTCTTTTACAACTTATAACTATCTGATTTATTTTGTCAAGGACAGGCACAATGTGCCTACCAGGCACTCAAAGCTTACTGAGTTGAAAACAATTCAAAAGCCTGTTATATTTACATGTTTATGATGTGATTTTTTTAAAAAAACCCTGTATTGGGCTTGTTATTTTTTTAATTACATTTAAATGATTGATTGCTTATCAATGTAATCTTTCCAGAGAAAACATCTTTAAAATCTTCACACAAGTTTAAATTTTGTGTTCATTTTGGTGATTCATAATCTTAACACAAATCTCCAACATCATTCTCCACACTTACGTATGAATTCATAGCTTTCAGCCAAAATTCTAACATTGCTAAGAATGAGATCTGCCCCTTTTTCACAAGAGAAAGACTCTATCTTCATATTAGAGGAAGATTTTAAAAATATATGGAGTGATTTGACTTCCCCTGAATGCCCAGCTATGATATAAGCTATAAGCATAGACACAATTCTTCTCTTTAGGTCATTCTTTTAGTGCACTATTAAGGAATATAGCATGTGAATTTAATAAACCCTCTCTCTTTTAACCTATTTATTAAAATGTGAAGAGTCCTTGAATACAACAATGGATTACTGGGATGATACTTTACCAAAATAATTATTTTAATCATTTTATTCATGAATGAGATTTTAGGATTCAAATCCATCTGAAAAAAAATACTATATTCTAATAAATTCATTTAGTTGTAATTACTTTGCCATTTCACAAATCTTCTCTGATTTTATTTAAGGAAAAGACACATTTTTCTAACCTACTCCTATGCATACCTAGCTGCTTCTAATATCATTAAGACCTTAAAATTCTATGAATATCAGTTTAAGTAATCTACCACATAATAAATACAGGTTTTCTATATTTCATAT